ATTAATCTGGAATTCTTGGAATATTTTAAAATCTGTTTTCTATTAATTTAATAAGAGGCTTTTCAGATTCTGCTGGGATTTCACTCCTCTATAAGTAACCAGTTTCTTCACAGTGGGCAGAGTAAGATCCAAAATAGAATTTCCTCAGAAGCAAAAACTTCTCAGGAGGGACAGGGTCAAAAGAAAGAATAAAATAAATGGGGGGGGGGTGGGATAGGATGAAGGGAAATATAGTTAGTTTTCCACAACATGACTACTATGGAAGTATTTTGCATGACTTCACATGTATAACCTGTATCAAGTTGCTTGCCTTCTCAATGAAGGTGGGTGGGAAGGGAGGAAGGGAAAAATTTGGAACCCAAAGTTTTAAAAGCAAGTGTTAAAAATTATTTTCACACGCAACTGGGAAATATGATATACAGGCAATGGGGTATAGAAATCTATCCTGCCCTACAGGAAAATAGAAGGGGGGGCATAAGAGAAGGGGGGGAGATAGAAGGGAAGGCAGATTAGGGGAAGGGGTATTCATAATGCATGCCATTTTGGTGTAGGAGGAGGGATGAGATGGGGAGAAAATTTGGAACTCAAAATCTTGTGGAAGTGAATGTTGAAAACTAAAAATAAATAAATTAATACAAGGAAAAAAAAACAAAATAGAATTCCCCTTGGTTTGTTCCTCTACTTTTTGAAGAATGGAGAATCATTAAGGAACTATTTGATCATTAAGGCAAGTCAAGAAATTATTAACTTCTCTTCCTTTAGCAGATAGAGTTCTATCAAACCTCCAGATATTTGAGGTCCAAATTGCTATTATATTATGCTATTATATATACATAGAATATATTTTATATTATATATAATAATATTATATATATTGTATTCCAGGCTTGTGATGTATTTCCTAAACTCACCTATTTCTTCTTTCTGTCTAACTGATCTGTTGTATACTCCAATAACAATATTGTTTTCTTCTCCATTTAGTCTTTATCTAAATGCTCTCTGCCATGTACTTCTCTCCTCCAGATTATTGTATTCACATGAACGAAAACTATACAATTCTACACCACCCTTTCCTCTTTCCTATCCTGTTTTTTTTTTAATAAGGTCCATCCTTCCAGACCCACATTCTAGCCATGAATCTCACTCCACAAATGACGTATATATTAGGTCAGATATGTCTCCCTGCATTAGGATTACAATTTCATCTTTCTTAATATCTACATTTTGTACATATACATATTGACCTCTGAGGCCAAGGGTTTTATTATTATAGTCATTCTTGGATTACTGTCCACTCTTCAGGTTATCAGATAAAATGAAATATTTCTTTAAGTGTCTGGCCTCAGACATTTGCTAGCTGTGTGACCTGGGCAAGTGACTTAACTCTGTTTGCCTCAGTTCCCTCATCTGTAAAAATGGCAAACCACTCCATTATCTTTGCTAAGGAAATCCCAAATGGGGTCATGAAGAGTTGGACATGATTGAAAATGACTGAACAACAACAAAAATTTCTTTAAAAGGACTCCAGTGTGAAAACAAAGAAAAAGGATCTGAGGAAGTAGAGAAGGCCTGACCTATGTCACGAAGGAGGGCAAAAGAAATGTTACACAGTGGAGAAAGGGAAAATATACCCCCAAATGCTTTGAGCTAAGGATAGATATGAGGTGACTGTCTCTGTGAACTACTCTGTGTAGCTAGTCCTATTATTCTTTCTACATTAAAGCTACTCCCTATGGTATCAGGCCTGGAAAATATACAAACAGTTTTCTACCTTTCTTTTTATTTTAAAGTCCTTTTGATTAGATGCATAAAATTCCAGGCAAAAAATGCACTTATACCAGTCTTTGTTGAGTATGCATCAATTTCTGACCAGAAGGTTGTCATTTCTCTGTTTTAAAACAATGGTTCAGAAATCCAAATTGTGTTTTCTGGCACCATCTTCTTAAATTTCTATTCACTTCTCAAAGATTCCTTTCTTTTCTGAATCCATTGTCTTTGATTTGAATTAGTGATAAAAATATAATAAAATAACCTACCATCTCTGTCTCCAAGATTTCTGGTCTGTTACCTAAGCCTTAGTAATATTCAGTAAAGCTTTCAGGTTCCTTCCATCAGCATCATTTGTGCTCATACAAATCACCATAATTAGGTGGTAGACATTTAGTTTCAGAAGCCTTGGGAGGTTTTCTGTCAAGTCAAGGAAACAAACTGGAGGAAGACTTCTCTGCTGTTTCTCTAAACCTTGTCATTGTCAGAGGAGTGAAGAATTGACTCAATAACCCTTAGCCAGGAGTGGCCAGCCACCCCCACTTGTCTCATCTTTCTCTGACCTTTACTGAATGGTCTCTCTCACCTGAGAGTGTCTGTGGATTCACATGCTCATTCTAGGCAACTGCATCCTCTTTAGGGCACCCAGCTTCCTCCTGGGGAGGAAGAGCTTCATTATCTGTTGCTTAACTTCAAGTGCTCAGTGGTCATGCTCTTTCTTCCTTTTCTTGTCTCCGTGATGTTCCATCTGACCTGCGACATTTTGACACAGATCAGAATTTCCCTCTGTCTCTTCTGATCTTTTTTCTTTGTTTTTGTATCTAAGCTGCTTTTGAGTAATACTCCTTCTGCCTGTTTACCTGCAGAGGGAAAAGCAGTCCTCAAACTCCTTTACCTTCTCTTCTGTGAAGATCATCTTGCACCTTAAGCATCAAAATTATTCCCTTGTCCTTGGCAGAAATATAAACATCATGCTCTCCATTCAGGTCACTGTACAGTTCCTCCTGTCCTCCACACTTGCTACGTTGAGATCTTCAACGCTTGTCCTTACTAGTAGCTCCCCTGAGGAATTACTGTAATGAAACTGCTGTAGGGGATCTTCAACATCATTGTTGTCACTTTCCTTACCAGTTACTGCAAAATCTTGACAGTCATACCTAATTTCTTCTCCTTTCTTTTTTCAATCTTTTATTTACCAACCTATCCTACTTAGCTTTTCTTACCAACTACCTTTTCTCTTTTTCTTTTTAAAAATTATTTTTTTTTAATTTATGGAATAAAGCAAGCATTTCTGTAACATAGTATAGTAAAAAAAAAAGATGATTGCACGTGAAACTGCAAATGTACAACTTACTATTCCTTTAAAATATATACTAAAAATAATATGTATATTTCTTTCTTTTTTCTTTCCTTTTTTTCTTGCCCCACTCACCTTAGGGATGGCTAAAATTAGACACAAATAGGTATATATATTATATATGTAAAATTATTCTATATATACTTCTATTTATCAGTTCTTTTTTTTTATACTTATCAGTTCTTTCTCTGGATACAGATAGCCTCTTTCTCCACCTTAACCCAACTCTCACCTGTGTCTCCAAGAAGTTGTAGCATACACAGCAGCCACAGTCCAGTAAAACCATCTTGGCAGATGGGCTAAACCAGGTTGAGGGCAACTGACAGGCCTCAGACTCCTCAGTGAGTTAGGGGGATGTGTACTCCAACCATGTGAAGACTTTCCCTAGTAGAATGGACAGATGAGAACATGGCCATGAAGGCAGCTGAAGCAGGCCCTATGGAGTGCTTAGAGCTTGGTCAGGCATCAAAGATGCCAAGGTCATCCACAGCATCCTGGGCTATCTCCAGTCATATTGACTTTTGTTCTGCCACTGGACTCCAGTGACACTAGAAGAAAGAGGCTGATGACTTTGTGCAACTCTGCCTCATTTAAATCCAATTCACACACAAGTCAAGATTTCACCTATGATGTCACTGGTCTTCAAAAATGAAGGATGAACAACATCATTATCTATCTCCTGCTTCCTAAACACAAGTATCCACCAAAACTCTGTCTTGGGCCCTCTACTCTCTCTATATGTATACTCTCTTTCCCTTGGTGACCTAATCTGCTCCCATAGATACAATTATCAGTGCTATAGAAATGACTCATACTTGGAACATCTCATCAGCAGTGTAAACTCAGTATGTCCAAAATGGTCTTCATGATTTCTCCCTCCAAACAGATCCAACAAAATGAAGCCTTTTCCTCCAAACTTCCCTATTTCTCTTGAGGGTACCATGATTCTTCTACTCAACTGTGGTTATAACCTGAGACTCATCCTGGACTCATTCCTGTCCTTCGTCTCCTGCCGCTTAGGTTACTCCACCCTCTAAACCAGACTTTGAGAGTGCATGCCTGGGAGGATCAAAGCTCCTCAGCAAGCTACCTGGAACATCCCTTCATCTTCACCCCTGCCGTTTTTTGTCCTGCTATAACACAAGTGCCCTCCCCTACCACTTCTACTTATTGGCTTTGGGAAGGGTGGGATAATTGATTGCTTTATTGTTCCATTCAAGATTTTTGTGGCAGAACTTCCTTCTCTGGCCATTTTTGGTTTTTAATCTCTCGTGTCTACCATAATGTCCTGAATGTGGTAGGGATTAAAAATGTGTTTGAAATAAATTGAATTCTTTCTCCCATACTATGCTGCCTTACATAAGCACTCAGAGCCTCAATATCCTTATCTGTAAAAATGGAAATATGTACTTTGAGGGTTTTGTGAGGATAAGATGAGAACATGTATAAAGGATTGCAATTTTAGATCTGGAAGAGACCTTAGACATCATCTATTCCAATCCTCTCATTTTCAACTTGAGGAAACTATTGCCCAGAGAGGATTCAGCTTACTCTGGGTCATATAAATGGTAATTGGCAAAGCCAGAATTTGAACCCAGGCCCTCTAACTCCACATCTAGAAACAAAAAAATTCTTTGGAATTTTAAAGTATAACGCAAGTGACTTTTATTGTTATTGTTGCTATTATTATTGTCCTATGCAGAAGCAGTCAGTCGACAAGCATTTAATATGTACTAGTGATTCATTTACAAATTCTGATGCCTAAAAATCTCTATTGCTTATTTTCCTGCCTTGTGAAAGGAAACGGCCGTATTTCTTGGACAGATGTAGTCTCCTGGCTCTGATCCACTAAGGCCTTGCTTACTCTCTTCTTTAGGTCCTGTAGTTGCTGGTGTGGTGGGGATCACAATGCCCAGATACTGCCTATTTGGAGATACTGTGAACATGGCATCCAGGATGGAAAGCAACAGCCTCCGTGGGTATCCTTTATATCTGGCTTCTCAGTCTGATACCCTTTCAGGTCTTTAAACAGAGACTATTTTTAGAAGACCCATTTGCATTTTTGTCACCTTTTTTTTTTCCACCAGGGAGATAAAGGAGGTCACACCATCCTTATCAAATATCACTGAGCAAATGACTTTCTGGGCATCCTAGTGTGCAAAGGGCTTTTAGCAGACAGAGTCTCTTCCATCAGAAAGTTTACCTTCTAAAGAGACAGCAAAGTCATCACACTGACACATAGTGAAAGGAAGAATGAAAGGATTGGGAAAATGAGGGGTTGGACTAGATCTCTGAGATATGGAACATTCTGGGATTCCAGGCTTCTATGATAGAAAACTCCAAGGAATAACAAATTATTTTATTCTGCTGAGATTTTGTTCATCAAAATCGTTTTGAGGGGCAGGTAGGTGGTGAAGAGGATAGAGCACCAGCCCTGGATTCAGGAGGACCGAGTTCAAATCTGGCCTCAGACACATAACACTCACTAGCTGTATGACTCTGGGCAAGTCACTTAACCCCAATTGCCTCAACAAAAAAAAAAATCACCTTGAATTAGTGGTTAATTTATCAACTGGAAAAGGGAAAATTACTTAGGAATATGACCTGTATAGAATTTAGGTTATGATTGTTTAAAGTACATAAATATATGTATATGTATATATATGTGTGTGTGTGTGTGTGTGTGTGTGTATGTATGTATATGTCAGTATACTATCTCTTGAAATTTTAAAAAGAGTGTATTTCATTTGTTAAAACTGGGTTTTTCTCTACAGCTCATAAGGAACCCAGACCCTTAGAGCCAAAAGGGAACTCACAGAACATCTAGTCCAAGCCTATCATTTTATACATGATAAAACGGTTGAAAGAAGAGGGTTACACAGTCAGTGGTGGAGCTCAGACCAGAACCCCTATCTCCTTCTTTCTATTCCAGTGCTTTTCCCACATGAAAACAAATCTTCCTCCCCTCTCCCCATTACCTCATTGTCTGTAGGTTTTTACCCAACCAAATCCAAACCCCAAACTCTGACCTACCTCCTCTTGTAAGTAAAGGTTTGCAGAGTAGGTTCTCAGTGTGTATGCAACGTACTGACGACTCAAAAATAAGCTCATTTGTACTTCTAGTTACCAGAGATAATCATGAATAATACATGCAGACTTTGGCACAGTAGCTGGTCAGCCTTTCTTCCTATTGAAATCTGAAGCGGCTCATTAATTTCCATTCTGAAAAGCGACACCTATTTGCAATGCCAATGTGGCCCTTCTATTTCTATATTGACCAGATGAGGATCTGGGGCATTATAGCTGGTGGTCAAAGAACTCTGGCCCAAAGTTCTGCCTCCATCAGGGATGCTGCATTGTGATTTGCTTTATAAAAGGCCATATCAATCTGGGACCCCAAACAACATGGTTTGTCCTCAGAAATAGACCTCATCTGTGGAAAAGTCATTACCATGGCAGTAACTAGTATCTTTTTTGTTATAGCTCTTCGGATTCATGTTTCTCAGACCACTGCCAGTGCCCTGAGGTCAATTGGGGGGTATGACCTGCAAGAACGAGGCACTATTAAAGTAAAGGTAATGATGGCGGAAACTAACCTAGTTCATCTTTGTAATATGGCCTGCTATAGATCAAATATCTAACTCTTTACTATAACACATGGAGATTCATGGACTCTCCTTTCACCTCCGTTACCCTTTTGCTTCAGCAATGAGGAGGGTATATTTTCCAAGGTTGAATTAACAATAAAATCAAGCTTAGAAATTTCCATGTTAAAGCTTTTCTGACTTGGTGATGAAATGGGGAATCAATATAGTAGAACTTGAGAAGGGCTATGGAGAGGGCTCCCTTTCCTCCCCCACTAGCCCAACACAAGAAAATTCCTTACTTATGAGATCATTACTTTTGGTTAAACACTGTACTCTTCCTTGGAGGGGAAAAGAGAATTGGCCATAACATCATAAGGTGAATGAGATTATCCAATCATTGTCTTCCAATATTGGAGCACCAGGGAGAATAGCAAAGGAGTACAGTATAGTGGAGAACTCTACCTCAGAGTTGTAAAGGTCTGATCTTTTCTCAAGTTCTTTTTTTTTTTAAACCAATTGATTTCAGAAAATAGTTGTAGAGGTTTTTATTTTTACCTTCAACTTTCTAGTAGTCAGCAGCACTGAGGTTTTCTTTTTGAAATAATACCTGTATTGTATATGGTGCTTTAAAGTTTGTAAATCAATGATATTCTTTATCTAATTTGAGTTTCAAAACATCCTGGTGAGGTAAGTACTACAGGCATCATTATACTCAGTTAACAAATGATGAAGGTTCAGAGAGTGAAGAAATTTGCCTATAGTCATGTAGCTAGTAACAGGATAGAATTTGAGCCTGGTCTTTTACACTCTGTCCACTATGCAACCCTTCCCCTCATTTGAAGAAACAATACCCACTTGTTCCCTGTCAGCTTACTAAATTTCATTTTAAACATATAATGTTGCTATCAGAAGACTTGGATTTGAGTTCTAGTTTTGACATTTGCCAGCTGTTTGATCCTAGACACAGTTTTTCCATCAACAAAATGAGCATACATGTAATTATCACCCATTGGGTTGTAATGAAGAAATTATTCTGTAAATTTTAAAGTGCTTTAAGTGTGACTTTTATAATTATAGTTTTCATTATTATTTTCTATGGTTCTTATAAAAACCTTCAAGGACCTGATTTTTCAATAATGATAATAATGATCATTTTTGTTCAGTCATTTTTCAGTTGTGTCTGACTCTTCATGACCCAGTTTGGAGTTTTCTTGGCAAAGACACTGGAATGGTTTGCCATTTCCTTCTCTAACTCATTTTACAGATCAGGAAACTGAGGCAAATGGGATTAAGTAACTTGTCCAGGGTCACAGAGTTAGCAAATGTTTGAGGCTGGATTCGAACTCAGGTCTTCTTGATTCCTGGCCCAGTGCTCTATCTACTACACCACTTAGCTGACCCAATAATAATAATTGCTAGAATTTATATAGTTCTTTAAGGTTTTCAAAATGCTGTACACATGTTATCCCATTTGATCTTCACAACAACCCTATGCTGTAGGCCCTATTATTATCCTCATTTTACAGATAAGGAAACTGAGAAGGAGGTAGATTAAGTGACTTGTCCAACTAGTAAGTGTCTGAGGCAGGATTTGAACTGTGGTCTTCCTGCTTCCAAATATTACACTTCAAATATCCACTGAGTCACCTAGTTGGATTTCCTGAAGAGATATGCCACCTGTCCCTCTTCCCCACACCGCAAGGCACTAGAATGCGGAAATCTCATGGATTGTAGTCCCCAAAACAGTCTAACTCATTGAATGTGTGGACATTCTTTGTAATTAAGCTTCTAGTTATTGATTTCCACAGGGCAAAGGAGAACAAACTACCTATTGGCTAAAAGGAAAAGTTGGGCTTGCCATATCTCTGCCAGAGTTCACTGAAGAGAATGAGTTCCAGAAACCCTTAGGGGTAAGTCTCCCACCCTTAGAGATCCAGGTATGGCTCTCTTTATTGACATCAGCATGAAGAAACAGATCTGACATTCATTAAGCAAGGGCTTTCCATCTTTTTTTGTGTCTTGGAACCCTTTGGAAGTCTGATTAAGTCTCTGGTGCTTTTCTTAGAATGATATTTTTAAGTAAATGCACGCTTAACTTCAGTTAGACATTAGTAAAAATAAACACCTAATTATTCCCCCTCCAAGTTCATGGCTCTCTCTTAAATCTATCCATGATCAGCAGGTTAAGAAGCCTTGATTTAAGGGTAGCGATTTGACTTAGTGAGTTTCTTCCTTTTAGGCAGGTCCCATCTGTCTAGCCTCCTTTTCCCAACTCTATTTGAAATCCCAATTGCACAGAGCACATGCACAGAGCTCATTTGGATTGGGACATGTGGTATAGAGTTATAAATGTTTTTCTTTGAAGACAAGAAGAGGGTTATTGCTCCAAGCCCTGTGTGTTTTCAATCCCTCTCTGCCAATCAGCTTCCTCAGTGGCCAGATGTTTCTAGGTCATTAGCTCAGGAATTACACTGATGGATAATCTCACACTGGAAGAGGAGAACGGGATAGAACAGAACAAATTTCATCCATAAAACCTCCTGCTTGCCTTTCCCTGGTAGACAGAAAATAATGTAGATAATAATTATCCCCTTGTCTTCCTGGGTGCTAATCTCTTAAGCTTACAGACTTTGTTTCCCTTATCTATTGATCACCCCTCAAAGTCTTAGAGCTTCAATTCCCAAATCAGAAAACATGTTTAGAGGCACAAAACACACCAATAGGTGTATTTTCATCTGAAACATAAGTGGGAGAAACCAGTACAAAGTTGAGAAGATTAATAGCCAATTCAGGCAAACCTTGTTTTGCTGCATTTCATAGATATTGTGGGGTTTTTTTTTTTACACAAATTAAAGATCTTTTGGCAACTGCCAAAGAGTCTATAGGCTCTATTTTTCCAACTGCATGTGCTCACATCATATGTCTGTCAGATACTGGTAATTTTCACAATATTTCAAACTTTTTCATTATTATTATATCTGATATGGAGATATGTGATCAGTGATCTTTGACGTTACTTATTGTCATTGTTTCAGCGCCACACTCATATAAGACAGCAAACCTAATCAATAAATGTTGTGTGTGCTCTGATTGTTCCACCAACTTGCTGTTCCATTTCTGTCTCTCCTCTGGCCTTCTCTATTTCATGAGACATTACAATATTGAAATTGGGCCAATTAATAACCCTATGATGGCCTCTAAGTGTTCAAGTGAAAGGAAGAGTCAATGAATGTGGCAAACTGCATTATTGTCTTATTTTAAGAAATTGTCACAACTATCCCAACCTTCAGCAACCACCATCCTGATCAGTCAGCAGCCATCAACATGGAGGAAAGTTCCTTTACCCTTAAAAAAGATTATGACTTGCTGAAGGCTCAGGTGATGGTTAGTATTTTTTTAAGCAATAAAGAAGTTTTTAATTAAGATATGTATATTTGTTTTAGACATAATACTATTGCACACATAATAGACTACAATAAAGTATAAACATAACTCTTTTATGCACTGGGAAGCCAAAAAATTCACATGATTTGCTTTATTGCAATATTCACTTTATTGCAATGATCTGGAACTGAACCTACAATATATCCATGCTATGCTTATATATGAGAATATATAATAAGAACTTCCTCTTTTCTTGGCTGTTGATCTAAACCAACCAGTCAACCAGTGTTTATTAAACAGTTACTATGTGCCAGGCTCTGGAGATGCAAGTACAAAGAAAGCAATAATCCCTACTCTCAAGAAGTTTACATTAAAATGCAAATATATTTAAAGAGAATAAATAAAAATGATACAAAGTCACTAAATGAAAGATAATTTGAGAGGGAGGGCACTAGTAGCAGAGAGATCAGGTAAGGCTTCTGAGGGAAAATGATGCTTGAGCTGTATCTTAAAGGAAGAGAGGAATTCTATGAGGCAAAGGTGGAGAAGGGATACATTCCACGTGTGAAGGATAGCTAGTGCAAAGACCCAGAGATGAGGGATAGAGTATTTTGCATGAAGAACAGAGCAAAAGCCCATTTGGTTGGATTGCTGAATTTATGGAGATTAATGAACAAGGAGGCTGGAAAGATAGGTTGGGAATAGATTTAAGTCTATTATTTTATTCTAGAGGCAACAGGCAGCCACTGGAGTTTGTTTACTGAGTAGGGAGCTGACATGGTCAACATTTTGCTCTCCAAAATTAATTCCAGATTCTCACTTTTTTGCTTAGCTTTTTCTACTTACAAGACAAAAAAAATAGCCATTTTCTAAAATTTTACCTCTCTAGAATCACCAGGGGTAATCACCTTTTGACACTACGAATACTTGTCTCTTTATTACAAGGAATAATATTCTATGCCATGTTCCATCTAGCCATGTGAGTAACAGATTTATTAAGCTATGGTGTTTTCATTTTCTACTCATTGTCTACAGTCCCCTGCTCACACCTCACCCCAAACATTTTACATTTCACTGCTCCTGAATGTGACTGGAATACTGCAACTGGTAGAACCAGCTTTTGTTTCTAAGCCTTATGAGACTCAGGTTCTGGTACCAAGCATGACTGGAAAGCTCATCTCTTCTGGGCACAGAGCCTTATTTGGAGAGAGACTTTTGAGCCTATATTCAGGACAATGTATTAAATAAGTGATGATGAGTCTCTACTTCTACAAATCTTGTGATTATGATGAGTCTTTACTTTCACTGCCTTAGTCTCTTACAAAAAAAAATTCACTGGGATCCTTTCTTTGGGTATTTTTTTATCTCATGGTATTTGATGTTGAATGTAGAATTTTCAAAGAGAGAGTGAAACTAAAAGAACTAGAAACAAATTCCAGTGTAAAAAAAAAATCTACTTTACATGAACTCTCTGCCTTTCTTTTTGTTTTGAGAGCAGAGGGCTAGGTTATATAATGCAACCCTCCAGTCCCATATAGTAAGCACATAATAAATACTTGCTTGTAAGCTCTCTCTCTCTCTCTCTCTCTCTCTCTCTCTCTCTCTCTCTCTCTCTC